ACTAATACAGCCAAAGGCTAATCGATACGCAACAAAAGAACACCAAACATTTGATATTTCGTTCTGATGTAGGACTTCTTCAGAGAATAAGTAGGAGACAATAAACCTTAGCGGAAAGAAGAGATAGATAGGATTAAAGTAATAATTTTGTACAACTGTAAGGGATACGCATATAGTTGCTACACTCGTATAAACTGTTGTTATATTTTCTTCTAAATAAGAAAATCCATAAAACACTTTCGAATCCCACATTTAAATTCACACTCAATTTTCTGTTAAGTTTACTCTTTCGTCTTCTTCTCCAATGTCCGTAATTAAAGATTGGTCCATAGGTACATCTCCCGAATTTAATTTTCAAATAGAATATATTTTTCCTCCTTTATTTAAAAATTTTCTTCCATGAATAATTCTGGACGGGTTTTTGTATCATATAAATATAATTTTGGTCTATTGGGACAATACTTCTGAAGATATATTTCAAAGCTAGACACATGCATAAAGCAGCTAAGGTATTTAGACGTATTTCTGTTTCTTCTAATTATTTTTGAAACTGGAAAAAACGAAGGAATTTTAGATAAAAAATTCAATACAGTATCATACCGATTAAAATTACCTAATTAAATTAGAACACAACTTTCAAACATGTTTATCAAAACGGTTTAAATCAATAAATATTAAAAGTAAAAAAAGTTGCTATAAATTTGTATCTAATGAATACTTACTTAAGTAGGTCCTATTTAATTAATAACATTACCTCGGTATAAGCAGAAATGAGTTAGGAAGAAGTTTTAAAAATTCACAGATGAAACTTGCAAAGCTGTAGTACACGTGTATGGCCCAGGATACTTTCATATTTATAGTTACTCGCAGTAGATTGTGTTCATTGCACTGTATACAGTGTACACTCTCAAGAGAAAATAGATTCTTCATGTTTTACTATCAAAGTTTCAAAGAAATAAATAATTTCGAGGAGTATATTTCTGACATAAGCTACATGTTGACATTATAAAAAGAGTACAGGTAGCTTACTACCTACCAAACTTTAATCAAAACAGGAGAATTTTACATACAGAACTGTATGATTTTGGGTTTACGTACAGTATATTGTATGGTAAAAAAAACTACATTAAAATTGACGAAACAAAATACAGGGATTACATTTTTTTGAGGTGACGGACAGTAGGAATAAATAAAAAAAAAAAAAACTTTAATCGAGGTTCACTGTATACATAAAATATTGTTTGCTATATTTACACAATTAATTGTGAAGAGCTGATTGTTTACATAATTTAAATATTTTTAAATGATGACAGTATATAAGGCTGTTTAATAAATTATTATTGCTTAGTAAAACGTCAAGAACAAAGTAGCACCCCGTTAAACAGAAACCGAAATAAACCTAAATTATTAAAATCAACAGGAATAAACTGTCCACTGTGACTCAAGTTAAAACGATCCTAGTACAAATTAAACGTTAGGCCTAACTACTGAATTTTAGGAAAACGATTTTGTTTTTACAGTTGTAGTTTATAAATTATAGCAATTTAAGTGACGTGATAAACTACTTCTGTAGTTTTTTTCAATAGAAATTTCCTTTAAATTCTACTCACTAATTACCCGAAGAATAGGTTACCCGGAACGGGCCATTACCCCCCCCCCCCCCCCTATTTATTCCGGTCGAACTTGGATTTACTGTATTCACCACCAAGTAGCTGCAACAAACTATCATCAGTAACAGTAAATTATGATATGAAAGCTAATTAACTGCATCAATTAAATTAATTACAGACCAATTAAGTAAATGATTTAGAGCCTAATTGGATTCCCACCCTTTGAGTTAATTAAAGAAATATTTAAATGTATTAAAATTTACTCCATATCGATCTTAAATATTTTTCTGAATTTAACAACAAGCATGTTAAGCATTAGGTCAACGTCCGCGTCTAGCTAAGGTCTGGTAGTAGGGGGGGGGACACCCTACCGTGTCATTGATTATTGGTGCCTCCTCATCTGCTCACAACACTATACCTGCATTTCTCTGTTTAAAAATACCTTAAGCTTTCTAATATCCTTCAAAAATGTTCTGTAATGATTTTGTTATACTTTCCATAACAAAATCATCCCCAAGATTTTTTCTATGGGATTTTTGCTATGACTTAAAAGAAAAATTGGCATACACAATTTTGTAAATCTCTCAACCTTGAGTTTTTCAAAAAACATTTTTTTAAAGTTTAATTCTACCAGTAATTGTTTGTATTTGTATTGTTTGCTATACGAAGCCATGTTATATGTCTAGGAAGTCATGAGGGTACAACGTTATGCAACACATGTATCTCTGCACACCCTTCCTCTTGTGTTTAACCCAATTTATAGGGTTGCTACCCTACTTACCTCCATTATAATGCTCTGCTGGGTTACTCTCTGCACTTTATTTGGATAATTTAAATCATAGAGTAACTACAGTAATATCAATCATCTTGGATATTTTATGGGTAAAAAAATACTACATAATAGTGTTTTTAGTTATAGGTATGCTGTACCTACTTTAAAGACCTACAAAAATATCACTTAAAATGAACACAAGATCCAGTTGATTATTTTAAGTAGATTATTTGAACATGAACACAAAATTATTATATAGGCTATAAACAATATACAGGGTGTCCCGGAACTCTCTACCAATATTTTAGGGCATTGCTCCTGGGTAAGAAACATAACTAAATATCATATTTAAACTGTCCGGAAGTCCTTAGTTACTCACACAGCCGCCATTTTGTTTTTTTCAGTTATTAATTTTTTTCTAAAGAATGGTTAAACATACGAAATGGAAACTTTGCACAAACATTTATGACAACTAAACAAAGCTACCAAAAAATTATCACGATTATTCAAATTCATAAAACAAAATGGTGGCCATTTAAAATTTTTGTAAAATCAATGGTTTTTGAGTTATTTAAGAAAGAAAATTTTAAATGGCCGCCATTTTGTTTTATGAATTTGAAAAATCGTCATAATTTTTTTGTAGCTTTGTCTAGTTGTCATAAGTGTTTGTGCAAAGTTTCCATTTCGTATGTTTAACCATTCTTTAGAAAAAAATTAATAACTGAAAAAAACAAAATGGCGGCTGTGTGAGTAACTAAGGACTTCCGGAGAATTTAAATATGATATTTAGGTACGTTTCTTACCCAGGATCAATGCCCAAAAATATTGGTAGAGAGTTCCGGGACACCCTGTATAAACATACAATTATTTATATATCATTGTAAATTAACTGGTTTTTGCACCAATACATGATGCTTGATTCGTAGAAATTATGGTACTAAATACTATAATTTACTAGGAATCATGGCACTGTACCAATACTTTATTTCTAGAATTATTGTACTGATGCTATAAATTATTTACTGTTCTCTATTCTCTACGTCCAAAATCTGGATTTTTACTCATAGAATCTTTTACATTTATCTATTTATTCTTTCAACGGTAAAACCATTTTTACATTCAAATATACATTACATCAAATAATAAATTGTATGGACAGTTTTGTAAATAAATTGACTATTTTATAATTATTGTAGATGTACTGGGGGCCTTATTGTACTGTATTCCATGATTCAGTTAAAAAGCTGAAGTAGACATCAATTCTATACATATAGTCCACCTGTATTCAGATTCTATTCAAAGAACACATAATTGGTTGAGCACTCATAAAGTGCAACGAGGAGTAATTCTCCTCTATTTTTCATACTATAATAGTTGATAGCATAAAAAAATTTTGTATGTCACGCCTTCTCATCCCAGGACGCTAGTTCAAGCCCGGAACTGCTTTACACATTACTTCAGGCTAGTTCTAATGGGTTACGGCATTATCACATAGATAAAATTGGTTGGTGATTGGCGGGATTTGAACCCAGGACCTTGGGCACCGAAGCCCTGCGCTCAACCAGTAGATCAGCTCGCTCGCCCAATAATAAAATAGGTGACAACAAGTCTTCCTTTCATCTGGGCATGATAAGAAAACGTATTGGTGGTAAAGAAAATATTAATTTTACCATAGCATACTTTGGCTGTAGCATAGCTAAGAAAATCAGCTGTTTATTACATAAATCACTGCAACACCTATTCCATTTTCTTCATGGCAGTAATGCCACTTTTAGTCAAGCCCTGTCAAAACAATAAGTAGGGTTACTGGGTACTAATTTGATCAAGGTGATTTTACTGATTTTGATAACGCGTTAAAATTTGCAACTAATTTATAATGCAACGATTGCTTTCCAGCACAACTCAATAATAGTAGCCGGTTCATGAATTCAGTTTAAAAGAAATAATTAAACTGTGTTCATCTCATGATTGGTTTTTTTTATGAATATGTGTGCAAGGTGGCAATTGAATTTGGTAAATGGAATTTTCCAGTTCAAACAATATGGAATCGCTAAAGTAGACTTTTGGCATGGTATTTTCCTTGAGTAAAATTTATAGTATTTGGGACTACTCCAGCTTTTTGAGCTTGTTTGCGACTCCCTTGTGAAATCTTGAACATAAGTGAACGGTTGCGTTTTGGCTTCTGTGGTGTTCAAAAATAATTCCTGTAAATTCTGTCAAACATTATTATATATTAAAATTATGATCATCTATTTGCCAAGGGTTTCATTTTAATGTTAAACATACACATTCAAAAGTAATGTTACTGGCAAACGCTGACTCTGTTTTCATTGCAAAATAGTTCTTACGAGAGATCTACTACCTAAAAATGCATACAATTGAATGTCAAACGTAATCCACCCTCAAATGTCCTAATCATCAATAGAATTAACATTGCAATTGAACAAAAAAGCAAATTATATCCAGCGTTCATTTATCAGAATAGATTCAACACTAACAGTACTTCTAGCCAGAATGTTGGAAGATGTTGCAATGATGTTAGTACGGTAACACACTATAATAATTATGATAAATTTATGCAGTGATAATTTCATTTTAATTATTTGTTTATGTTTCAGGCTATAAGGTGTCCGATACAATGAGAAAAGGCATCTTGCAAGTCTCTCTGTACGAAGGCGCAGAAGAAGAGTTCATGATCGGTCTACTCTCCTCCCTGGGTAGGTATCCTACCTCACATTTGGGTATAAGTATATCGATAGTACACAAAAATGGCCATGTGCAGAGGTCTACCCAAGCATTAAAGTAGATGGTAAAGATTGTGTCAGTTAGGATTGAGTGTAGGGATTGAAGAGGCTCCCAAAAACTGAGAGTCACATAACCTTTTCCTCCATATTCACACTTTAAGATGCTTGGCTGAACTATTTTCATATCACTTCAGGCTTGGTCCATAGAATCACAGAATTACCACATAAAATAAGAATCCATTTTTGATTCACGCGGTTCGAATCCGACACCTGGTGGACTGAAGTTTAGTAAAAACAAAAAGAGTACGTTTATGAATTAAAGAACATTTTAATTAAGAGAGGTTTTTAACAACAACTGGGAAGACTTTTTATGATTTAATGAAAAATGTAAAGCCAATTTTTGTTGCTAGTTTATTTATATAATAATTTTTTAATGTGTATAATTGACAATGTCTCCTTTTTCATCTGGGAGAACCAGAATAAAGTTAACATTTTTGTGGCAATAAACGACTTATTACGTGCAAGTCCCATGCTCTACTACTAGACCAGCTTGCTTCCCGCACCACTAGGTGTTAATAGTATCAAAGTAATTGCACAGCGATTAATTGTTGGGATGGCTGTTCTGAAAGCTCGCTACATAAATGGAAGGTGTGTAGTCAGAACACGTTAATCAGGTCCTATCAGGTCATTTATCGTGGTCACATTTGATGCCTATCAGGCGATGTACAAAGATTAAATTAGATTACGACACCGAAAAAATTGTGTGCTTGTTATTAAGTAAATATGAGTGAAGGATGAGTAATGAATGAAGTAAACAACAGCTTTGTTACTGACTAAGATCAGCTGGTTATTTATCGAGGAAAGTTGATTAAAATCCCAATGCTGGGTTACTGGGTCCAGTTGTGACCCATCAAAACGTTGCCTTTTGTAAGATTGTATTGGTGACTTTCTGATCTCTAGGCAAGCACTACAGCACTCAGCTACCCAAATGGTTGGGGTTTTGAATCTTATCCCTTTCATTGTAATACAGTGAACCTCGTTAATACGAACCTCGGTAAAACCAATTCCTCGATGAGACAATTTTTTAAAATTCAATTGAAACTTTCATAAAGGTCAATGCTAAAAACACCTTTTTACAACGTAGTAATTGGGTTAAAAACAAATAATAAGACAAATTTTTTTTGACGTGCGCTAGGACTGATTAAATTTTATACAACAAATATTCTTAGTACAAAACCTCTACAAGAGGAATGCGACCTCTATAAGACAAATTTCTCATGATTGTAACCTTCATAGTATGTAGTTTTCAAAACTAATGGAAGCTTGTCTCAACATGAAACCCCCACCCATACCTCTTCCTTCCTAGTCATTGTTTGGCACGTGCCTGTGCAGTAAGAAACCTCTATAAGACGGATAACGGCATATTAAACCTAGATAAAAGAAACCCCTTTATTAAGAATACCTCGCTAATAGAATTTTTCCCCTACTCCTTAAAATACATCTTATTCAGTATTCGTTAGATTCAGGTATTTACACCATTTTATAGTAGTTCGCATCGAGTTCTTTATTCAGGACTATCTATTAAATCTGAACCATCAAGAACAGCTGGGTCCGGTTTATAACCATCATGCAGCTGACTTTTCTCAGGATCAAAGCAACGTTTAGATGACTGCGAACACCATATCCACTCAGTTCTTCAGCTATAGAATTAGGATTGCCTGTACGGAGGGATAGGGCAAGGCTCCCAACAATACCGAGAGTCCCACAACTAGATGGTGTTATTGAATTAATAACAGAGGAAAACATTCCATGGTACACTTAAGTGGTGTCTAGCACTAGTCCTTGGTGTCTAGGGAAAAGTATGATACCCCCTTGCACTCATTTACTACAAAACTCACTGTGGAGAAAGACCCTGTGTGATAGGAATTTCCACACAGTGCTCGCTGTACAAGTATATTTCCGGCATAACATACCAGAGCTCATCCCACGAGGTCCATAGCACGGTCATCCCATATGCTAGTTTCCTCTATATTTTACTTCTCTATGATTAATCCAACTGAAATTATTGTGTTAGTAAGAAATGGTTCTTGTGCACATGCACAACCTGCGCTTACCACTCTAATTGACACAATATATAACTACCATTGATGAAACAAGTCCTTACCTTAAAACTTTTAAGTCAGTCAAGTATGGGTGAAAAAAAAGATAATTGGATTGGCTTTTTATTATAATGTTGTTGTTTCATAGCTCCTTAACTTAAAAAGATAATCCTGTCAAGAAACATTAAGTCCTACTGTACTTCATGGCAAACATAATAAGTAGGTTTAGCAGATAAAAAAATGTAATGTTTAAAAAAATCACTGCTGTATTGGACACAAAATTGATTTACTTCAAAAGCAAATTTGCACTTAATCTTCCAACCTGTTTATGCAATCAGGACAAGGAAGGCAGGGAGAGAGGGAGAGAGAAGAACCTACGACAACAAAGGTCGCCTTGACTACGATAAACATTACCTGACTACAACAATATAAACACTCGTTACTGTCACCGAGATATGGTTTGTTTAGCGTCCTCTCCATATCAACAAAGCAGCTGCATCCCAAATTATTTAATGCAGTAAACATCAAGTTCCCTGCTTTGGGTAATCAGCATACAGCGTAGTTTGTTTGAGCTATGGTCATCTAATCCGATGTACAGATGAGCTCAACAATTTATGCGATACAATTTATGAAGACCCTTTATCTACTTTATTACTCTAGAAATCTAGATGTAAATGATAATTCTATCACAACATTTAACCAAATTTATTTCATTCTGACTGACAAATAATTAGACCTACAGGTCAACAGTCTTGGGTGTAAGTATTTAAAGCAGTCACTATAGATAAAAAAAACGTTCTTCACAAGTCAGTTTACTTGTTATGATATAAAGATTTCAAAACTAGGATACACAATTCCTACTCGATACAAAAAACATGGAAAACTGGTTAAAATTTAGTGACTCAAATCTGTAAAGTATAAAATAGGTAAGAGATGAGAAAATATTGCCACTTAACTGGTTCATCAATAAACAGATGTGTTTATAAAAACTTTTGAAGTAATGTTTTGTTGTGAAATTAATTAATCTGGCTTGGAGACCAGGGAAATTCTCTAAAACGAGAGAGAAATGCTCCTTCAAAGGGAAAAGTGCTTCGATATAAAGGAAAATGCTCTGTTTATCTACTCTCTGAAGAGGTAAAATATATGGACGAAATATTGTGTTATAGTTTGTAACCTTTTATTGTGTATCTCTTAGCCCCTTGAAAATTATTCTTTAGGTGAGCTAGCTTCTCCCTGAATTCCATTTCTCTTCAAAAACATCCTCAACAGAGAACAAAAATTCTGAAATAAAAGAGTATAAGTCCAATACAGAGAACAAAAGGTTCCAGTAAATGTGAAAATACAGTTGCACTGTGTGGAAATTCCTATCGCACAGGGTCTTTCCCCACGGTGAGTTTTGTAGTAAATGAGGGCAAGGGGGTGGTGTCATACTTTTCCCTAGACACCAAGGACAAGTGCTAGACACCACTTAAGTGTACCATGGAATGTTTTCCTCTGGTATTAATTTAATAACACCAGCATGTAGTGATGTGACTCTCGGTGTTGTTGGGAGCCTTGCCCTCCGTACAGGCAATCCTAATTCTATGGCTTGTCAACTGAGTGGATATGGTGTTCACAGTCATCTGAACATTGCTTATTTGATCCTGAGAAAAGTCAGCTGCATGATGGTTATAAACTGGACCCAGCAGTTCTTGATGGTTCAGATTTAATAGATGGTCCTGAATAAAGAACTCGATGCAAACTACTATAAAATGGTGTAAATTCCTGACTCTATGTGATCTGATGCGTTGCGATAAGGGAACAATAAGACTCGCATGTGAGTCATCCTCAGGCCAGTAGGATGTCTTCTTGCTTCATTAGAAGGTTGTCAATTAATAAAGACACACACACGGACACAAAACACAAACATTAAAGATGACTTGCATGTGAGGCTAAACTAGTTTCCATACCACAAAACTGAAGCATAGATGCAGGTTATACACCAATTTATAGTATTTAAATGTGATCAGGAGGCTAAAATTCAATACAATTAAGTTCAATCCAAAACTATTCATCACTGCCAGATCCATACTGAATGATGTACTATAAAAACCTCGATAGTGAAGTCATTTGCTGTATAACTGGAAACGCATATATGCAGGTAGTAAGAAGTGTTGGCACTCAAAATACGTTCAGTGAAACAACGTATATCTGTTGTTTTACTTAACATTCCTATTTCGTTTCAGCGGGAAGTGGTATTTGGCTGATCCTGGCGACCTTCTTCAAGCTGCCAATCTCGGGGACGCACTCCATAGTTGGCGCTACTGTCGGCTTCTCGCTCGTCTGCCGAGGCACTCGGGGGCTCTCATGGTCCACTCTGGCCACTATTGGTATGTTTGCATAAGTTTTACAGAAAAAAACCTAACTCGGAAATCTCACTGAGCCAATAAAAATGTTGCGTTCGAATTTGCATGTCTACTCTATGATCTAGGAGCTCTGCTGTTGCTGTGATTGTGTTTATTTCACTTGTATATATGACTAGCTGTACCCGCGGGCTTTGCCCCATTTATAACCTATAATAGAAAAAATAATAAAGTTGTTCCGATTGTAAATTTCAAAATGGCAGCCGTTTTAATTTTTCTAACTTAAATAACTCAAAAACGGCTAATTCTACAAAAAAATGCCAAGAATACTTTTTTTTAGCATTTTTAATTCCCTAACAAACGATACCAAGATCAAAAAGATCGGACAAATGATAACTGAAATATAACGTTTTTTGTGTAAAAATAAGGCAAAGTTAGTCGGGGAACCCTTAATTTTTGCCTTATTTTTACACAAAAAACGTTATATTTCAGTTATCATTTGTCCGATCTTTTTGATCTTGGTATCGTTTGATAGGGAATTAAAAATGCTAAAAAAAAGTATTCTTGGCATTTTTTTGTAGAATTAGCCGTTTTTGAGTTATTTAAGTTAGAAAAATTAAAACGGCCGCCATTTTGAAATTTACAATCGGAACAACTTTATTATTTTTTCTATTATAGGTCTTGTGTATGTTAACATGTATACCAAATTTCATAATCGTCGAATAAAAAACTTCACAGATAAAAATATTTTTGTATAAAAAACAAAATGGCGGATATCTGGGTTAATATGCATTTTCGGACATACCTTCCCATAAACTTTTTTCTTCCTTTTAGTATGGGGATTCATTTCCCAAAGTCCTGAAACGTTTTTTATGGACACCCTGTATATACAGGGTGAGTTTCTACTGACCGTGTTAACTTCGCCAGTAGGTTCTACTCACTAAAAGGGACAAAAAAGGTCCTATAAACCCATGTCCGGTTTTCAACCGTTTGGCTGTAATAGCGGATTTTGTGTTTTTCTTATTTTATTAGACTTTGCTCCACAATTTATGTAATAAAAACTTAACCCATTACTTTAGAGAGTTATAGTTAAAATCATTGGAAAGAATATTAAATTTGCTATAAATAAAAGGTTTCATTCAACAATTATACCATTACATAGTCCACGTTATATCCAAAATAAAGTAAAAATGTCATTAAATTAATTAATTACGAAAATGTTCATGAGCCCACTTTGATACATAAACCTGCATTTATGCAATGTTGACATGCATAAAAAAACTTGGTCATTTAATAATCTTTCAAATGATATGCTATTCAATACTATTATTGATATAAACCAGTGAGAAATTACTAATAAAGTACAATAAAACACGGTTTACAGATTTTGTTTTTGCACAGTTTTACTGTTGATAATAATTACTGTATACTCCATGTTGTATTTTATTGAACAATCTGATATGATTTGTACAGTATTTTAACTTTTAAATATTTATTAAAATTATCTGAATTAATAAAATGTATAAACTCAAGGTTTTTCACATTTTCAAAGATGTAGTGGGTTTGATTCTTAAATGCTGTATAATTAGTTTTACCTTGTGCTTGATTAAGTCAGCTTTTATTGATTTGTCATCTATAGCTACATGACTCAGCTGCTTAACATACCTTGTTGAGTAATTTGCTGTTTTAACTTTATATTTCCAAGTCAATTAAGAGTTTTTCAACATTTATTAAACTATGGAGCCTTTTACCAATCAAGAGTATGCCAACATGATGAATACAGTAATTATTATTAACAGTAAAAACTGTGTCAAAACAAAATCTGTAGACCGTGTTTTATTGTAGTTTATTAGTAATTTCTAACTGGTTTATATCAATAATAGTATTGAATAGCATATTATTTGAAAGATTATTAAATGGCCAAGTTTTTTATGCATTTTAACAAGGCATAGATGAAGGTTTATGTATCAAAGTGTGCTCATGAAAATTATCGTAATTAATTAATTTAATGACATTTTTACTTTATTTTGGATATAACGTGGACTATGTAATGGTATAATTGTTGAATGAAACCTTTGATTTATAGAAGATTTAATATTCTTTCCAATGATTTTAACTATAACTCTCTAAAGTAATTGGTTAAGTTTTTATTACATAAATTGTGGAGCAAAGTCTAATAAAATAAGGAAAACACAAAATCCCCTATTACAGCCAAACGGTCGAAAATCGGACATGGGTTTATATGAACTTTTTTGTTCCTTTTAGTGAGTAGAACCTACTGGCGAAGTTAACACGGTCAGTAGAAACTCACCCTGTATATTTGATTAGCTGATAGCAACGGTGTAGTGACGTCAGTTCTCCCTCTTACCGCCTCCACGTCTGGCCTAGTCTGTCAGCCAGTGACAGCAGCGCTCCTAGATTCTGGTGTAGACACTAGCAGGTTGAAATAAGTTTTTTATGGCTCATTGAGAGTTCTTCGTTAGGTCTTCACCCTTTGATATTGGTAAAATTTTTGCCAAAATGACATCATATTTAGAAGGAATTTTTTTCTCAAAAACGTCTTTCACGAACTTGTAGATATACATTTATAAAAAGTCAACAATTTAACAAACTCTTTTTTATAATGTTTGAGGTTTGGACTCAAAAGTGATTTTTGTAATAATTCACTAGTAATAATCAAAAAAGTGTAGCATATCCATAAAGAACTAAAAAAAGTGACATCTTTCCAATTTGTACTATGGCATTTGTACCTACAGATTTATAGATTTAAAAATGGTATATGCTAAGCATTTTTTCTTGAAGGAATTCTACATAGTGTTATTTCTTTAGCAATAAGCGATTTTTTTTATTTACGTCCAATTTCTCTTCCTCCAATTTCAACTACGCATACCCTTAGCTCTTTAATTATTTTATTGTTGAAAATCTCTTCATGTTTCTCAATTAGCTGTGCAAGATCTTATTTTAGCTTATTACCTTAATTAACTGAACTAACCTAAACATATAGAAATTAAAATAATGAGATGTTATCTATAACGTTTATGTGAGTCCTTGGTGTTCAACTCGTAAAACAATTAAAGAACTACAAAGAAAATTTATAACCTCACAGTATACTAGATATTTAACTTACAATCATATTTTAGACGCTTCTTGTAACATGTTAATTTTCTAATTAATAAAGAACTTTTAATTAATCATTAATGCATATTTAATATTTTAGATGCTAAACTGCATCTATGAAAAGTTATCTTAAGTAACAAAATTCTCTGTTTCAGTGGCATCTTGGTTCATCTCACCGGTGATGTCAGGTGTTGTCTCCGTCACTTTGTTCCTGCTGATCAGGAGGTAAGAAGCAATTCAAGTCGCTTATTTTTATCAGTAACAAGTCTTTTGTAGCATTCTTACTACTATTATCTCATACAAGGCTACCAAATTGTGTTGGAGCTGTCATGCGATGTTTTACTCTGTAATTTTAATGTGTCTAAAAGTAAGGCTTTCATGGTCACACTTAAGAAAGTATTTGATAGGTTGTAATGCTTGTCTAGTAGTTAGAAGATCGGAAATTCAATCCTGAAAAAGTCAGTATCTAATTTTTTTATAGTACTAACTGAACTTAGCTCTCCTTAATCGAGTGTTTAATTTTACACCAACAGGTTTGTCACAGGCGATCATTTTTTGGCTTGTGGTAATTTGCCACCAAAAGTATATTCACTTATAGTCCACCTCACAACTTGCGGGATTTGCAATGACAGCACTTATTTTAACTCTCCACTCTAGACAAAGTACAAGAGATGTGTACACGTTACCATAACAGGATGCTTATTGAGTTTAGAAACGCTCTAACATTGCTAAGATGGCAATTAGCCCTTCTCCGATGCCAACGTCTATTACTTTCTGGACGGACCTTTTCCAAACTATCTGCTGCAGATGTTTTGTGTAGAATAATTAAGACTAATGCAACAATTAGTTCTCCAGCCCTGAATTTTAAAGTGATTTAAAGTGAACTTAGACCTTACTTGTAAACAACATAGTTTACAGTAAAGTAAAAAGCATTGCTTTACTTAAAAAACAAAAAAAAAACATTTAAAAGCATTGATTGGTCAAATTTAGTACTGACCAACTCAATTCATCGTCAATATCCAGTAACGAAGAGTGTTTGGTAGAGTTAGTTACTCACAACTGTAACTTTTCTCTCATGGTTATCATGTTGACAGGTTTATTCTCCGTTCTCCTTCCCCGCTGGTCCCCGGTCTGCGCTCTCTGCCACTCTTCTATGGAGTGACCATCGCCATCAATGCCTTCTCTATCTGCCACGACGGCCCTGAACGTAAGTAGCTCAATCATGTAATTACATATGCAAGACCAAGATAAGATTCTTTTGGTAAACCTATGATCAATGGGCTTTTAAGAAATGAGTATGGATAAAAAAAAAACAGCTGTTCTTATTCAGTATTAAAGCTGCGTCTCTCTTCATTTTACATCCTTCGCCATCTTTCACTTGTAGACTAAAATACATCCAGAGTCCTTATCTCAATTATTAGTAGTATAATAACGATAAAACAATACTTTTGTTGGTGCCAAGTAGCTACTTACGTAATTGCCCTGGGAGTGACTAGTGAGTAAATTAATAAGTAATAAAATATCACACACTTTCCAGAAATTAGAAGAGTTGACAGTTCTTACCTATGTAAACACTTAATGTATTTCTCTCTTTTGTAATTTAATGTCCTGTTTTTCCACAGTTCTGTACATGGACAACATCCCGACATGGGTGGCGGTGGTGATCAGTCTAGTTCTTGGTATCACGTCGGCGCTGGTCGTACAGCTGGTACTGGTGCCGTGGCAGAGGTCAAAGATTCTCGGTGAGTACGCTAGACAACTCTGTACGTCTACACGGCTATGGCTCGTTGGGGAAGACATATTAGGACTGGTGGAATCTACTTGGTAGTGGGAAATTCAAGAAAACTAATTCTAAAGATGTAAAATACGTTTCCACCATCTTCGGCTTATGTGTGAGTCTACAGGACTATTGCAGTTTTATCAGTACTATCATAATCATCTTCAATCAACGTTTCAATAGAATCGGTTTAACACTCTAGAAAGTGTTTTATTTACTTGGATTCGACCTGATAATGGAAGCTTGGACTTTTGAAACTGCAGTTGTCCTTTCTTACTATAGAGCTGAAGAGGTCGGTAACCTAATTTTATTTTTTTTTTTCATAATTTATAATCCCTAAAAGGTGTTATTGAATTTCACAAACTACCTAAATAACAGTATAACAGCAGTAAACACAGTACTATTGTATGAAAAAGAAGAAAAATGAATTCCTCACCTTTTACACCTTGTCTTAATGATTGTATATTGTGATGTTTACAACTTATGGATAGATGTTTGTTTACATATTTGGCTCTGTACTAGAATCTACTAATTGCTAACTGAAGTCATTAAAGTGTCACTTAAGTCTCGCTGAACAAATTTATTTATACAAATATTAAATTTTTTTTGTAAAACATATAAAACATTAAAAAAAGTTTTTTGTGAAATGTCAAAATCAAATGTTTTAACTAAAAGTAAAATTTGCTAAGTAATAAATTTAAACATTTAACGAACAGACTTAAATGTTGAACATAGATTTATTTGAGGGAGGGATTTCTTTCCTGAAAACTATTTGATTACGAATTACGATACTATTTTTCATAATAAAATCTTTAGGATTGATTTTGCAATGAGTAAATTGTAGCAATGAATAATATATTACTATAGGTACATATTCTCCTAATGGGTACATATAATATGGGATTTTCACTGAATTAAATGCTGCAAATGTTTGTATAACAAAATTTATAAAATTGAAATCTTCAAACCAAATCCCATTGGTACCCGAGTAAGTTGTTTAATTTTACTCCTTCTAAAGTCTAAACCAAAGATTGTCATATTAAAATATGTTTCAGACATACAGACCTTAAAAACTCCTCATATTGGGCTATAATACTGTTTTTTTTATCATTGCAGTGTAAAAAAAAAAAATCTATAACATAAAGTTACTTATTAAGTTCTTTTTATACACATTTTGAATTATAGTTTTAATTTTCATCATTTTAATTTCTAAAATGGTGGTTAATGGTTTTTTTATTCTGTTTTATGTGATTTTGTATCTTGGACTTAATGGCTTCTAATCATGTTCCATGATTCAATATGTGTATCAATTCAATAAAATAATAAATTCTCAGGTACATAATTTTTGTTTCAAACACTTTTTTACATATAAAGTGTGTTAATTTGCATGTACTAAACCACGGGATATAATTTTAAAATGCATCAACCTCATTTTAAACATTGATAGTTAGCATGTTCAAAAGAAATTGATTAATTGTACCTTATACATTTAAACTTAAAATATTTACAAGATTATTTGATGTCCTAATATGTCTTCAAAAAATATGGTGGCTGCAATGTAATTTTTGGGGCGATTTCAAACCGCTTTGTCGAATGTTTGTGCGCCCCACTGCATGCTGCTAGTTATTTAGTTAGCTTAGGCATTCAGTGGTCTTTGCTAAATATTGGGACGGCGCTGTCGCCCCTTGGTTGTTTACAGAAATGATGGGAACAGCTACTAAAGCTGACGTCCAGTTTGCTTTCGGATACGAAACAGGTAAGATTAACTGAAGAAAGTGTGAAAACCGTGTTTTGGTGTTGCTTTTGTTGTCATGCGGTCTGGCGGTTTTGAAGTATAATCCATATGTGTTTTGTGAAAGTAGTTGAAGTCTGTTGAGTTTGTAGTTGAAAGGTGGAAAATAAAAATGTCTGTTGGTCGTATGTTCTTTGTGGCTGTAGCACCCGTTGAACATCACAGGAATCTGGGAAACATTTGCAACTGAAGATAATAATGGTTTTTTTTTACTCAAGAGTCAGTGGAAATGTAGGAGATTTCGCTCAAGCAAAGATAAATAAGGAACAGAGGATACGCACTCTACGGTACCCTTATGTGGTGTGTAGTGCTGGTGCTGGTGTCTAAGGCAAAGTCTAACACCGTCCCTGCCATCATGTACTACAACACGCTTGCTGGAGAAAGACCCTGTGCTATAGGAACTTCCACACAAAGCTCATTGATCGGACTCTTCCTTGCTTGCCACAAGTATATTTCTGTCATAACATACTAGAGCTGAAAGCACACGGCTGCCCCGTAAGCGAATGTCCTCTGTACCTTTACTTCCCTGTGGCTTAAGGAAAATTCTGTGAATATGTCAAAAAACCTAGACATAGATTAGGAGACCAAACACCTTTAGCAATTTTTTCATGGGGAGGTAGGTGTTACAATATCTTCATGGTGAGATGTCGGTTTTGTCAATGGTCATTTTGTTTTAAGGTTTATTTTAAAAACATTGTTCATTTAAATTTTTATACTTTCCCTCCCTATACATAGTAGCCTATATGGAGAAAGTATTGTTTTCGGCAAAATTTTCGAGTTTAAGTTTTGAGTGGATACATATTCATTTTGGGCCCCCCTGAACCCAAAAAAGTGGTTTTCAAAGTGATGTCTGTGTGTGTGTGTGGATGTGTACAGAGCTACAGACCACACCTGCAGTCCGATTTTGAAGAAATTTGGTATGTAAGTTATGTAAGTACTAACCCATGATATCTCCAGGAGTATTTTCATTTTTTTTGAAATTTTGATTTTTAATGGGAATTTTCCTATAAAAACCCATAAAATAATGGAAAAATCAGATTTTCTCAAAAATAGACCGAACGATTTTGATAAAAATTTAGTATGTTAAAGTCCTTTAAATTCTGAACAAAATTAGACAAATCCTATTTCTGTAAAAATTACGGTTAAAAAGTTATTGTAACTTATGTTATTTTCCCATTAAAAAATCCCATAAAATTAAAATTACAAAAAATCGGATTTAGGAAAAACCCGATTTTGATTAAAATTTATGTGTTATGGTCCTTATAATTCTAAACAAAATAATGCAACCCCCATTACTGTAACAATTAAGGTTCAAAAGTTATTGCAACTTTTCTGATTTTTTCCTACAAAATGTTCATAGTTACTCCCACCGCTTACCCTATTGGAGAAAGTATGTGTCAGATTGCTGATACTGTTTATTATATGTATGTCTGTTGGCAAGAATATCTTGCAAAGATTTTTCAAAGTTGATTAAATTTGCACACAAAAGAAGATGCTCGTATGAGTTTATTAATCAAATTTTCCATGTTTTATTCAGTTTAAAATGAAAAGCAAAACTTAGGATGCTAAGCTGTTATTCAATTTTTTTAGTCCAACTACCAAGAAGTGAGTCAAGGGTTTCCCTAAATCTAAGGCACAAGTCTAAGGCACCAAATAAATTCACTGAAGAATATTTGCTTAAGAGTCAAGTTTAAGACACCATTTGGCTGTTCTATGAGTTCAGCACTTGACAAGAAATGTCACACCTTCCATACCTCTTTTTCTGATTTTAATATCACTATTTGCCCCATTGTATCTGTTGTTTTTGGCTTTGAGTATTGTATACAGAATTTGAACATACATTTTAGGATAATTCACATAATATTACATATTAGCTTTCACTTCTTGTGAACAGTATTATGTACATAAAACATAAAACTTCATAATACTTTTGGAGCCATGTATTTTTTATTTTGGATCATTGTTTTTACAATACACCCACTAAAGCTGGGTTTTCCTAGGAGCGGAATCGGCGAGCGGAGAGAGGAACGCGGAGAGCGGAAAAGAGATTAACATGGTGTTCCGCTCCGCTTCTAGGAAAACAGTAACATTAAGGGCGGGTTTCTGAGTCAGGGATTTATAAGTCCAGAACTAGGCTAGTCATGGATTAAAATTAGTCATGTACTAAAAATTCACTTTCTGAGTCAAGGATTAAGGACACACGGACTAATTTAAAGCGGGTACTTAGTTTAGTCAGAGATTAAAAGAGCTCATGATTTTCAAGGGAAATGTAGGGTAATTTGTGCCGCCGTGCTGGCAACGCTGTCAGTTTGCGCACTGCTCTGAAAAAGTAAACAAACAACGATCTCAGTCAAACCTTGGTTTTGAGGTTTATTTATGTTTTAATTCATTTATCATTGTAATATATGTTATTATTGTTATAAACTAGTTGTATCGTAAAATTTTAAAGGTGTTTTAAAGGTAGGATTGGTGTTTCATCCTATTTCTTTTGGCTGCACTTTACTTTACGTCCTACACTCCTTCGAATTAAAATATTGGTTATTTGATTGTTTCATTCGATATATTGTTTGGTTAGTTAGGTTAGGTTAACCTTACCTAACTAACCAAACGATATAACTTATCGAATAATCAATATAACGATCGATATTTCCATTCCAATGAGTGTAGGACGTAAAGTAAAGTGCAGCCATAGTTTGAATAGGCTTTTGCAATAATGCTCAGGTAATTTCAACAGGGAGTCATAAGTTACCGGTACTAACTTACTGGCCTACCCTAGCCTTTTTAAAAAAAAAAACTTGTCGACCAGGCTAATGAAATAATTGAAATATCGAATAATCAATTATTTCATTCGGTTGTTCTTGACAACAGAAGTTACGGAAGTCTCTTTACACACTGTCTTATTTACTTAGATACTACTCTAAACTAAGTTTTGCTTTTCATCAGCACCAATCCTTGTTCTCCTAATCACCTGAAATGTTCTATAAGACGTGTTTAAACTGTTCCTAGACACCAAAACTAACTTTCTCAAATGACTTTTTTGTTGTCGAGGCTTCCTTTGACCCCTACAATTTCATATATATCAGCAATAACCTCTACCATATAACCTAGGGGACCAGTGGGAATTAGAGGTTTTGGGTGGGGGTAAAAGCTCTTGATGTAGTCTTTCCTCAGTTCACGGCATATTGCCAATGCCACTTTAGGCACATAGCGGCATGCCGATAATTCTGAAATATTAGTTAGATCGCCGGCTTCCTGCAAAAGTGTTCCACTTGCAAAAAAGCGCAACGCTACCAACACTTTCTTCCACAAAGGTAAACCTAGTTCCCCTTGTGGAAGTGCCTTCCAAACTAGGCCTTATCAATTCAATTAGTTCTCTCAGAGAGTTTTTTTGAAAAATCTATACCTTACTTATCCTTGAATTCATCCGCACTTAAGTCATCAAATGGATTATTTTCCCGCTCACGACGAATTCGCGGCCCACGAAAACGGTAAAAATCATGATAATCAATGTAATCCATAATCACCTTAAACACACAAAAATGGCTTAGGTTGAAAGTGGAGGACTAAAATTAATCCTACCCCTATGCAGGATTAAAATCTAGCATGTTTTAGTCCGTGGACTAAAGCATACCTAATTTCTTTAGTTCAGACTTAAAAACTAGTGCTTGACTAAGATTAGTCGCTGACTTATAAGTACTCGAATCAGAAAGATATTTTTCTTAGTCCAGTACTAAAATGAGCTTTAGTCTAAGACTAGCGCTAATCCTTGAATCAGAAACCCGCCCTAAATTGCCTAAGAGAAGTGTAGTCCGCTCTCCGCGTTTCTCTCTCCGCTCGCCGATTCCGCGCCTAGGAAAACCCGGCTTAAGGTCATGCAAGGAATTATATTCCAAGTCCTATTTTTATTTAAGTCGTTTGGCCAATCCTTGCCTTTGTGAGGAAAGTAATAAAATGTTTTCTACATTTTAGTCACAAAAATTAATTTCTGAAACGAATATATTAAGAAAATGTAACATTTTAATGTCTAACTATAACAACTTGGTCACATGATTATAACTAGGTCAGCTGACTTTTGGTCAGATTCATCAGAAAAACTAATTAATCATACAATCAGCTGATGTTTTTTGTTTTTTAAATTATAATCAACTCTTCTCTGCATACTGTCAGACAGTGCAATGTATTTACAAGTTTACACTAGAGGCCACGAGAGTCTGCAGTTGGTGGCAGTCAATATCAAGACTGGACTAGGGCGACGTTGCAACATCATCCGTTCACTAATTTTTGACATAATTAAAATATATTAAACAATATTTTCAAATCAGCAGAGCTGGTATTGTTAGATTTGGCAACAACGCACGGTCGTCATTGGCTCCTTCGAAGTCACGTGGTAAATAGTCTCCTCCCTCAACTGCAGGCTCTCGTGGACCGCACTCTAAATGCCAGCTTTTTAGAAATAAAGCATTTTGTAAGTAGTTTGCGTAGATTGGCTTTGGTTATTGCTTTTTTGGCAAAGCTTATCGATTTGTAACGCTAACGCTTTGTATATAAGTAGAATTTGACACTGGTTGTAGTGCTATTTTTTTAGTACATTACTAATGCAGTATTTTGTTTTGTGGAATGTGAACAAATTGGTGTTGTTGGTAAATAATTTCAAGAGTAGTTAATTGTTAGATTTTCAAGATACTCTTTATATTTTATCACAGAGTCAAAGCTATTGGTAGGATTATTTTATTTAAAGTACTAACAGTAACACCGATATTTTTATATTCAAACCATTACATTACTCTACATAATGTTAACTTCTTAGAGTACCGATTACTTTATTTATACTTACTTAATCTCTTTTACTCTTTCATTCGCACTTGGTACAATATTATTTTTCAGTTGCCAAAGATTGCGGTGGTTAAGCATTGTTCCAGCTCAGTATAGAATTTGGTACTTCTCGTCACTCTTAATTTATTACAATGATCTGTTACACTTAATAGAAGCACAATCCCCACCATAGCTAGGAAAACTAAGTTGTATAGTTGCGACCCAACTGTTTTGTTACAGACTCATCGCGAGAAGGCAGTCCGAGGCCGGTTCTCCGCGAGAATACTCCTCTACCAGTGATCAGCGAGAACGTGAAGGAGCCGACACAACTGTACACGTTCCCACGAGAACCGCTGGGTGCCACCAACAATGGCTACTCTCTCGCGGAGACTCAGCTACATCAGGCCAGCGGAAACAAGGTATTCAATTCAATTCTTTATTGTGACACACTTTGGGCGTAGGATGATTTGATAATTGTATTGTGATTTGTCAAATGGGTTTTTTCATAATCGGTTATTGGGTCTGGGTATGCACTCCATTTTCTCATGCCCAAAGTTATTTTTGCACCACTATCTGCAAGATTCTTCTTCTTCCCCACATTCCTATTCACCTTTTTCTTGGCATTTCTCTCAGTCTTCTACCCTTTCCCTCTTCCAAATCAATCCTATTAAATTTGGAATTTGGATCAATCCTAAATTTTTCCCAAATATTTAACCATCTTAATTTTGCTTTTTATACCGTCCCTTTTAAGGTTTTTTTTTTTATGAAAGAGGTTTGTGGCCTCTTTTAACCTTGCATTTGCCCGTCCACATAGACTAACTGCCTGTGCGTGGATTGTATCCAGCAAAGCAAGGGTGAGCCGGTACAGTACAAAGGTGATCTGTACTGATAAAATGTTTGCGGCAGTGACCAGGATCCGATCCAGGAGTTGTCTTGCAGCGCTCTTCTGATCTTTTTGGTGGATTAATATTTTTTTTATGTAGAAAAGTTTAATTTTTCAATTCCAGGACCAAGTTAACGGGGGAGGAGCTACGAAGGTACCTACTGATCCAGTGCTTCTGAACATTCCGACAAATGGAACCAACACTCCAGCTTACGGTAAGTTATGCCATACTTCAACACTCTTGAAAACCATCAATTAACTGAATAGAAATACTGTAATGATAAAAAAATTATCTTGACCCATTAGGGGCCCTATTCATTTGAAGGAATAGTTTAGTTCTCTGTCAAATTAATGACTGTTGATTGTATTTAATGGGTAAAGTATTTAGCAAACACGTACGATCAACTTTTATATAGGTTGAATTTTTTACGTCGCCTTGACACAGTTTCTTTTGCAGGTTTGTCGCCTAACAGCAGTGCAGTTCCCCTTATTAAGGAAAGGACTTTGGAGCCATTGGTAAGACTGTTATATTTAAGTTTCTGAACTCTCAACTATCCGCTCCTAATTAATTTTTACTTTCTAAATTCACTCAAAGATCATTGTTTTTGTTGTTGTTTTTTGTGGGAGGAGGGACAAATACATTTAAACGCACACTGAGATGGTCAATTGCCTTGATTTGTGCTGACTACAACGTTTGTTATTATACTGTTGTATGTAATGACAATAAAGATATATTCTCATACAGGAGACACTCTAATCCGCTCCGTTTGTGACTTTGGGCGTGCTGAATGATAGAAAATGCCAGATTACTGACGGTCTTCTAAAAACCGCCGCTCTACCGTGATTTTAGTGGTGACTAGCTGTACCCGCGGGCTTTGCCCCGTTTAACTTCATATGTGAGCTCGTTCGCATGGCTCAATCACGTCCTGGTTGAAGTTCGTTCGCCACGCTCACTCACCTTTAGGTTGGAGCTCGTTCGCTGCGCTCACACGTCCTGGTTGAAGTTCGTTCGCTACGCTCACTCACCTTTACGGTTGGAGCTCGTTCGCTGCGCTCACTTGCCTTCAAGTTAGCTCGTTCGCTACGCTAACTCGCCTCCGGGTTGAAGTTTGTTCGCTACGCTCACTCACCTTTTGGTTGCAAGTTAGCTGTTGTCATAAATTAAAAAAAAATAATAGTGCTTCACTCTGTTGGTAACCCTTGTAACTTTAATGCTATTGAACATCACAGAACAGAACCAACTTGTTTAATTTAAATAGCTGTTATGATTCATTAATTCCATTTAAATATGAGTACTCATTAGGTTAACATGGGAAACTCCAGAGCCACTGGGGCGGAGCCCGAGAGTCCGATCAGAATAAAAACCACTTAGTTTTCCTATTTAACGCCTAAAGAATCAGTGTACCAAATTTCAGCCTCCTAGGTAAGTGGGAAGTGGGAGAATTAGTGATGAGTGAGTCAGTCAGTCAGTCAGTGAGGGCTTTGCCTTTTATATATACAGGGTGTTGAAAATGTCTGGAACCAACATTATATCTGGTGAGTGGTTAAAGAAAAACAACTGATATTTTGTGTACGGATATACTATAGTTTTACCTATCTTTTGTTGCCTTATGCAATTTTTTACCACTTATAGGGAACGTCCTGTGGAGGATGCAGTAAAAAGTTTTAATGGAAGCCTATGGTAAATGATACATCATTTTAAAGGCTATTTTTTTCTGAGTAAGGAGCCACAAGTTTCATCTCAAAAGGACCACCCTAGCAAAAATGGCGACTGTTTGAAATTTTAAAAACCAACTTATAGGGAACGTCCTTTGGAGGATGCAGTAAAAGGTTTGAATGGAAGCCTATGGTAAATGATACATCATTTTAAAGGCCATTTTTTTCTGAGTAAGGAGCCACAAGTTTCATCTCAAAAGGACCACCCTAGCAAAAATGGCAACTGTTTGAAGTTTTTGAAAATAATTGAAAGATGTTGCTATAATTAAATAGCAATGGTTTAAATTTCAAACAGTCGCCATTTTTGCTAGGGTGGTCCTTTTGAGATGAAACTTGTGACTCCTTACTCAGAAAAAAATGGCCTTTAAAATTATGTATCATTTACCATAGGCTTCCATTAAAACCTTTTACTGCATCCTCCAAAGGACGTTCCCTATAAGTGGGTTTATTAAATTTCAAACAGTCACCATTTTTGCTAGGGTGGTCCTTTTGAGATGAAACTTGTGGCTCCTTACTCAGAAAAAAATGGCCTTTAAAATGATGTATCATTTACCATAGGCTTCCATTAAAACTTTTTACTGCATCCTCCACAGGACGTTCCCTATAAGTGGTAAAAAATTGCATAAGGCACCAAAAGATAGGTAAAACCATAGTATATCCGTACACAAAATATCAGTTGTTTTTCTTTAACCACTCACCAGATATAATGTTGGTTCCAGACATTTTCAACACCCTGTATAGATACTGCTAATATCTAGAGGGTCTATGAAATTGTTGGCGAGTGGGCCATTATTAGCCTACGTGTTTTATTGTGTTTCTACTCATTTTAGTTGTTATAATGGTACAAAATCCTACAAAAAATTAACTACAGTACAATTAATAGTCTCCAATTTGTTTTTGATTGCTCCTCCTAACGCCTGGCTGCTGATATGGCTCAAAACAGCATTTAAAAAAATATTCTTCAGACCTTTAAGCCCATCCAGATGTTTTAAAGTGCTGGACCATCAGGATTAGTGTGGGGCACTAAAAAAGAAGTGCTAGGTATCAAAGTGTTTATACCCCTCTTATCTGAATTGCCTGACTCTTTTATAGATGTCCAACCTTATTATTGTGTTTAAAAAAATGTGGTTGAACTATCTAACATCAACATTTGTTGGATAGCATCATGAATCAATAGCAATGAGAAATGTTCTTCTCCTTCTCATCTTTTTCAATGCCAATGAAATGTAGAGGAGTGCTTTTTCTATGCTTGAGACCATGGGGTTTCCAGCTTCTGAGGTGTGAAGTGTTGTACATTAAATACAATTTCTTTTTTTGGTCCCATCTTCACATCCCAGGGCGTAGGCCATAGCTCAGAACCATTTTACATGTTAGGTTAAGCCAAGGGTTGCGGAATTATCACTTGGATAAAATCCATTGGTGATTTTTGGGATTTGAATCTCAGGGAACTAAAGTCCCTAACAAATTTTATTACTCTAAAAGTAATGATGTAGAGAATTTCAATTTACAAATGTTGTTGTGGTTTTAGATTTGTATATCAGCTGGAAATTAATTACTATTAATTGTATGTTGTCAGACTTTGGAGCCGAACACCGTTGGGTCAGGAACTTTCGATGATCCTCCTGAGGTCACCAGGATCTTCTCATTCCTTCAGATTCTCACGGCAACATTTGGATCTTTTGCCCATGGAGGCAATGATGTCAGGTATACTTGAAATAACTCGGACATTTTATTACATTATGTACCTTTTCATACCTAAAGAAAGTCCAATTTGTCTTTCTTTTATTTTGTGATAACATCTCTTTTGGAAACCAGGATCCAATGTAATTAGCTTTGGTGACACAAGGTGGAAACTTCTAAGAGGCCTAAGTGTATATTGGAATTTTGGATTTTAATTAGTTCAACAACACATTTTCAAATCTGTTATCGGTTGACAGAGGTCTAAGCAGTTAAGTTTTTAGATATTGAAAATTTAGATGTCTTAGGTTGATTACAAAAGGTCATACACATTTGCCATTTCCATCTTGGAAGGAATAACTTAAAAACCTAGTTATTCTGCCTTCAGTTTCTAAAAGCTTTTTGACTTGATGTTCGGTAACAAGAACTGAGTTTGGACTGTTTTTCCTTAGCAATTGTAAAAACCTTACAAATAACTTATCTGATGTTTACAGCAATGCCATTGGCCCGCTGGTGGCAGTCTGGCTGGTGTTCACGGAAGGTTCGGTTCAACAGAAAGCTCCTACGCCACTCTACATTTTGCTGTATGGTGGAGTCGGAATATCCGTTGGGCTGTGGCTGTGGGGTCGCAGGGTCATCGAGACTATTGGTGAAGATCTCACCAAGATTACTGCCTCCACGTCAGTATCTTATTAGTACATAATTGAGCTGGGTAGCTAGTAGTTATAGTGTTCACCTATCAATGAAAAGGTTGCCGGATCGATTCTGAGAATTAGTAGCTTTTTGAAAGTTCGGAACTGGACCCAGCTGTCCCTGATCTGGCTTTGAATAAATTATCCTGACTGGTGAGACAGCTGATCTTAGTCAGAAACAAAGCTTAAAGCTACACCACAGATTGTCTCACACCATTCTACACTCATCCTTCACTCATATTTTAGGTGAAATACACATTTAGGTTGCAACTCCATCTTAATTTATTTAATTCGTAGGCTATCACAAGAAAAAATCTTTAGTGTAATGATACATTTAGTCTAATAATAGGTAATTGCTGGGACAGCAGGATTTTCTAAATGAAAAAAAAGTCTTAAAATTCTAAAAAAAAATAAAATATTTTAATACTATAGGATTATTTCTATTAGCCCTATCTTTAATAATTTTCTTCACCCAACATGTAAAACTTTTAATTTTAATGTGTATTTCAATCTGGTTTTATAACAAATGACATCGTCTGTTGATTTTCCAGTGGATTCACCATAGAGATTGGTTCTGCAATGACTGTTTTGTTGGCTTCCAAGATCGGTCTGCCCATCTCCACCACCCATTGTAAGGTCGGCTCCGTAGTTTTTGTTGGCTGGGCGAACGCTTCTGCTGGAGGTGTCGATTGGACTCTATTTCGGTGAGACAGAGTAATTAAACTCAAACTCATGAGTTTTTAAACAGTGGTTGGTAAATTTACTGCGTTTCTCTTTGATATTTTACCAACTGATATTCAGTACACTTTGCAGTCCAATGCTACTCCCATGCTAATATTCTGCAGCAATATAATCTCTAGCACTAATTGTTAGTTATTTTATTAATTCATCTTGAATTTCTGCAGCAAAATATAATCTCCTGTACACTTATAATTGAAGTATTTGTTCAGTACTGTAGTTGTATTGTACTGTAATTGTACAGGAGTATATGGTAATTCATCCTGATATTCCGCAGCAATATAATCTCCGCGTGGGTGGTGACTGTACCGATTGCCGCAGGCCTCTCCGCACTCTTCACTGCTATCCTGCGAGCCATTGTCCTCTAACTTGCCCATCGCTCAACTCGTTCGTTCAAGATCTTCGCTCGCTGACTTGGCCTACAATTTATCTTTAAACTTTTATACTCTTTTATTTACGATATCTGTAACCGAAGAGCTTAATATTTTCTACACTGGATATTATGCAATATTTTAGATCATATTTAAGTACTTTTGGTGTAATCTTGAACGGACGATGAAAACTAGGTGCTTTTTGTTGAGGTAAAGTCGAAGATAATATTTTACTATTTAGATAGTAAGGATTCGAAATAAATGTCACCTTATACAACCGCTAATGTTATTTTTTCAATCGTCCTGTGCTTTCTTGTTTCATGTGGATCTAGATGGTTTAGGTTTTGTCACGTACCTGATTTGAATATTGAAAATTACTTGCAATAGATACATGTTTTCTATTTAAATTGATGTTCCCTTTAAGAGGTAAAGATAAAAAGCTTTAAAACGTCCTTTGTGAATGTGACTTTTTTGTACAACTTTCAAAAGTCGTGTAGCAAAAGTTTTGATTTATAATATCTGGAAATTTGTTCGATGAGAGCTTCAGAGTTTTAGTCTAGACTGTGCCTTTGTCAGGTCAAATTATGAGGAAGAGAACAAAGTCGTTTTCTGACTCAAATTGTTGCAAGTTGCATATAGTTATTGGGGTCTATTTGTACATGATGAAACATTGATTGGATCCATTTTCAAAATCATTGAAACACTATTTTACAAATCTGTTATAAACTGAAATGTTGAGTAACAATTTTAGATTAAAATGGTTGAAACTTTTGCTGAATATTTTAATTTTGCTTCCCTGTCTTGGTATTTTTGAACGCAGTGTTACTGGTAACGTGTTGCTGTAAAACAGCAACCTTTGGTAGCAATGTTGTGTTGTTATAAGTTAAAATAATAGTCCAGTCAAAATATATAAATTAATGACCCATAACCTCAGAAAAAAATCCGAAAGTTTTGAAACTTTGCACACATATGTCCAGTCTAGGTACCTAGGGAAGATTATACCAAAAGTCCCCATAAATATGAGACGAGCTCTAGTGGCAATTAGCAAACACAGGGCCCATTATTTTGTTTTTTGCTAAAATCTCGAGAACCGTTTATCGGAGCTAAAGGTAACCATATACTAAATGAAAGATTATTAAATTTCCAACAAAAATGGTATTTACTTTTTTATTTTATTCCTAATTTTTACTGAGTTATAGGAAATATGGAATTTTTTCTCAAACTGTCTGTACGGTACTTATGTTTGCAACCATTGTTCGTACCCCGACAGTTTGAGAAAAAACGCCATTATTTTAAATCCCTATAACTTGATAACCATTACGAATAAAATAAAAGTGTAAACGTATTTTTTTTTTAAATTTAATGATTTTAATCAGTTTAAATTCATTTGGTATATATGGCCACTTTTAACTCCGACCAACGGTTCTCGAGATTTTAGCCAAAAACCAAAAAAAGGTGCCCTGTTTTTGCTAATTGCCGTTAGAGCCGCCTCATATTTATGGGGACTTTTGGTATAATCTTTCCCAGGTACCTAGAAATAAGTGTGCAAAGTTTCAAAATTTTCAGAGTTTTTTGGAGGTTAAACCTTTTTTTTTGACTGACTCTTTTCTTGTTTCATAGCCTTTTGAAATTGATACACTTTCTGGTTAAATGACAGCATTATACAGCATTTAACACTTACTTTTACACTTTTACTCTTTAGGGAGTTTTTAGTTAAAATTAAAAATTTGTAAGATTTATTTTACAATAATAGATGTACATACCGTACACTTGTTTTGTTTCAACAAGATTGTAAATACATGTCAAATATGGTAGTGGTGGACGGTGGTTGATTTAGATTGGACACTGAAATCATCAGTCCTATTGGGAAACAATGTTATGTTAGACTTTTTATTTACATTCCATCATGTAATGTACTGATTTAGAAGTATAATTTTTATACTGAAAAAAATACTCTATTGGTCCTAAAGGATTGAAGTACAAACATAGATTAATTCTTATAGAAAAGATTTGTTGACTCAACAAAAAATAATAGCATCTGCGTCAAAACCAAAACTTCAAAATTTTAATACCTCCCAGGATTGTGATAAAATCTTCGTTAAGCGAAAATATATCTTAACTACTCAGCAGCTAATCTGTTAGTTATTGCATAAAGTACTGTCCGGCTCACTATAGACTTCACCATATTTAGGTAAGTATATCTGACAAACAATTCTTACTCAGCCAAGTTGGAATGTTTAAAATTCTATGGAAAACCATTAATTAAAATGTTTATGTCTCACAATCATGAAAAAGTTTAGTAGAAATGTTGACGTTGTGAGCGATTTCATAGAAAAACAATTAAAATTAGAAAAACCAAACAGATTACAATTGACCTTTGGGTCAGACGGCGCTTATTTGGCCTAGTAAATAATTTCTAGTTGTTTCATTTGTTGTTGAATCTTTGGTTCGGTTTAAATGTTAATAGCAAAGTAGTTTTCTATTAGATTGACTAAATGTTTATATCAAATTGACTCTTTTTTCTTTGTAAGGTTATAGTAAAGATGCTAGTGAAATAAAAGTTAAGTGCCCCATTCATTGTTTTTTAAATCCTAAAATTTTAGTGTAAACTTCATCACAAATTAAAGGTAAGTTTTACAAATTTATATACCACATTTTAAATGTGATAGGAAAAAATTTTAATTAAACAGTGTCAAAATGTAGTTAAGTATAGATCCCCTATTTTTCTTTGTTTGGTTAAAAATAATCTCTGTTCTTAAGGGCTCAGTCTTGAATTTATAGGGGGAAAACCTTTATTTTTTTCTAGAAGTCTGATGCTACCAGTACACTCTCGCCTGGTGCTCGCCCAGTAATTCGGGCAAGAGCTCGGCATAGATCGCATGCGAGGTAACCATGTACACTCTCGCTTTGTCTCGCAGTCAAAATGGAAGCCCATTATGGGCACGGCACTCGTGCAGTCTCGAGTCCTTCAACTCGTGTAAAAACACTACTCCAGACGGAGCGCAGGCAAGCCCGAAACTAGGCGAAGCGAGGCGACCCGAGTCAGGGCGGGAGAAGCCAAGCGCACCGAGTACACTCTTGCACTCGCACCCGCTCGCCTTGTCGTGGCGTGAGTGTACTGGGGCCATAAGAAAAAAATCTTTCCAGTAAAGAATGTTAGCTTTAAAACATATTTTGTAGCTGTCTAAAAAACCATTGGTGTTGCCATAAATTTTGCAGTGTGTAAGCGCTCAACATTATCCAATATCTGACTAACATTCTGTATAGGATAAAAAAAGTATTCTTGGAAAAAGAGAGTCACATACTACACTCATGCTAAAAACTAGAACCCTATTCCAAAATATGCTACAAAATACATACACAATATATTCAGTGCTTGATTTGTAAAAAATGAGGTTCCGGAACTGTAACCTATTCAATGTGGATTAGTACCTATATATGCCAATATTTTTATCTTTCCGAAAGAGAGGTAACGGAACGCTGTTCCGCTGCAAATCGAGCACCTGATATATATGTCTTCTCAATCATTATGATTATTTTAACAATTTCAAACTACACACATATTTTAAATTGAAACTAGGTTTCTTAATTCCCAAGAATCATGTTCCTTACCGTTTCTTGCAAATGTGATGCAGGTTATAATAGTGAAATTTATATCTTTGAACCTTGTCTTTAATATTTTTTTTTCTTTTCAGGTCATAAACAAATAAACCTAGAAGATTTGAAAATGCCTGAAAATTTACCTCCTTCAGATCATGAAAGTGTCAGATACAATATTTTAAAAAATCCAGTGGTGGGCCAACAGTCTGAGGATGTCTACATTTCATCTTCTAACGTGAACAGAAGATCTAATGGACTCAAAGGAAAACTACCAAAGTTGAAGACCTTTTGCTTGATAAACAGTATTTTTGTCTTTCTTATCATAATTATTGGCATCTCAGGTGCTTATTTTTATCATACACGTTCAAATGCATTACATTCTTCTGGCAATGCTTGTGTCTCCTTCAATCAGCTTGACAAATTGATTATAGTTCACGAAGTAACAGATTTCAATTCATGTCTAGACAACAGAACATGTCACACATTTGTAAATGCAATTGAACAAAAACATGATGGATCAAAATACAACTTTGTGGTTGGTGAAGAAGGTGAGCTTTACATCGGTTCTGGATTTAAATGTCTTGCCAATAACGATGAAAAAGCGTTGTATGTGAAAATTTTAACATCAAATAAACCCAGAGAAATAAATGCATTTAGAATAGTTTCAGACAGTGTTCAGGTCAAGAATAATAAAATTTGTAACAGACTCTCTGAGCTTATTAGGCATGGTATTTCGTGTGGGAAAATTGCATCTGAGCATAAAATTGAAACAGTGATGAAGGACAGTTTGGTAGACGGATATGTCAGACAGGGTTCATCATCGTTAGTTTGCATATTTGCTTTGGAAACTGATATGAAGACATTCCACGTCCATGATCCAAATCACGAGAAGAAGTTGATCCACAGCGACTTTGCATGGACATCGTGTGGATATTTCTCTACTACTAAGTGAGTAGTTAAATAAGTTTTTGTCAGTTGTCTTTTGTTCTTGATGTCTAGTAATTACCGATGGGCATTTTTTTTTGGTCTCAATGAGTATTGGTGGAGAGTAATGCTAAGATTAAATTATATTTTACAATGGCGAGAAATAAGTATTTGCATTTTCTAAATGTACTCAAACTGTTATACTTGTAAACTTGTTAGGTGAGTCGGTCGGTGGCTCAGTTAGGTAGCACCACGGACTACAGGCCCAAGGCAACAACACCGTGGGTTTGGTTGCTAGTACCAGCCATTACTTAAGATCGGTTCAATTCACCTCATAATATACGGGCTCACCCCATGTTTTGCTAGACACACACAGGCCTCTATGGCACATACGAACGGGTAAATTCAAGAAAAAAGAGACATTCACCTATTAAAAGAAAGAGAAAAAATACCACACATTTTAAAATTCAGATATATTAAATAACCAGAGATTCGCAAAATCAAAGAAAATACTTTTAACAATTGAAAGATTTACATTTTTATAACAGCTTTTCATAAGAACTTGACTGAATTGAAAAAAATGCAATCACAACTGAAATTCTGATGGAGTAGATACATTGTGGTTTTGTCCTCTTGCGCTAAAGATTTCTAGAGAATTCCGTGCAGTAACTGCCACTTTTACTAACTGATCAGGTGACAATGGTATATTCCAAAATGGTACAATGACTTTTTGAACACTGAAGTATACATCCCACTTGTATGGACTTGTATGGACCACTCGTAATGCAAGAGTCGTCTGTAAATAATCAAAATCTCCATCATATGAGCTCTCATCCGAGCTAGTTCAATTTTGAGACCAACACCTTGTTCTAGTTCATTTGCTACCATCCTTGATTGTTTTTACCATTTAAGTTACCAACCCACCAAATATGAATTGCCTTTTTTTTATGAAGTTTTTGTGGGAAGAGGGTCAACCTCTATTTAAAAACCGAGACCATTTGAAAATTTGGGTCCATACATTCAGGTGTGGAAAAATGTACACAAGTCTGAGGGAGATTGCAAAAGGCCATGTTCAATTTCCCAACTAGGCCGGTAGTGGGTGCTTATCAGTTTCCATCGAGACTGAGATTTGATTTAGGAGCACTTTGATTGCTGATAAGTATTTTAAAGACTATCAGGGCTTATCAGTGTCTTTCATAGCCATGTAGAGACTTTTCCTCTTGGCAATCTGCAATTGACAGTGATTTGCAAATTTTGTCATCATTAGATAAACAATGCAAAACATAGTAAACATTGTAAAATTGTTAACGACCACCTCCCCCCTCCAATTCCTTCCATGAATTACTCTAATTCTTTCCATTTTACTAGTTCAAACTCTATACTCTATTCATGAACATCAACTGTCCATAGATTTCAATAATTAAAGACTCAGACCACAGAAATTTGATTACAGTTTATACTTGTTGGATTTGTTATTTCCCTTAGTAGTCGGTACATTTTTTTCCCCACAGTTACCCGACAAAGCAGGATTCTTTGCACTGATTATAGCATGCAAAGTAGCTAATTGCAGCATTGACTTACTTTTGCCACACTCCAGTATTAAAAAAAAAACAACACAAAACAGTATGCTTTTATTAGGAATATAATATGTGTACGCTTGGAAATAAGTGGGCAACACTTAAAGCTACTACAACTACAATCAGCTGGTACAGCTTTTCACAGCCTTTGAGTATTGATACACTGTATGACTTAACCTGTTGTCACAAGTTATAACATTCTATTTTCTTTAAACAATTGGATTTAACCTAACCTAAAAGGTGTTGTTTAGTGTTTGAAATACTATAATTATTTAAATATGCTTTAGTAACTGAAGGAAAATAAATTTTGAGTTACGCTAGCGCAAAGTGCCTTTGCAAAGAAACTTTCTCTCATGTGCAGCAAAGTTACACAAAACACTATTGTAAACTAAAGAAACAAACACCTTTAAAAAAGTTTCTAAAACTCTCCATTCAATAAATTCCTGGAGAGTACCTACTACTTATTTATAGTAATTCTAACTTTTCTTATGTTTTTCAGAAATACAAGCAATCACAAAATAGTAACACTGGAAAGTTTGCCAAAAAACTCGTGTCCACCTCTAAAGAGAGTAAATCACATTGTGGTTGATGTTGTAGAGAAAAAAAGTTCTTTAAATCATTCGTCTACCTTGCAAGAATATGATGAGCATCACGAAGGCTTCAAGTACAACTTTATCATAGATCAAAACAGCGATGTATATGTTGGCTTAGGATTTAAATGCAAAGCAGCGGATTTAGCTGACGGTGTGTTGAAGATCAAGATTTTGAGGGGTCCAAGGGAAGAGTATAGTGTTGATGATAATAACTATCAATTTGAGAAATACATACTTCTTCTAGAAGAAGGGTTTGCTTGTGGAAGGATTTCTGAATATTTAGATGTTAAATTGAATTGCGATTGGGAGTATGGCGTATTTTATGATTGTGGAGATGATTATAAAATATTTGATCATATAAAACTAGTAAAATTGAAAATTAGTAGTCTTCCGACAAATCTCATTGTGAATCGCACAGTTGATTCGGAAGACGGAAAGGGTATTGTGCCTCGTGAGGAGAGATACCAATATTGTCATAGGAACCAATCGCATCGTCCAGAATTAGCATCGACGATTGCCCCAAATACTACTAACATGTCTTGCACTCCCTTTGAAAAAGTCAGTAAAGTAATGGTAATAAGAGAAAATTTTACATTAACAAATGAAACTTTATCACCCAAAGACGTTTTGGAGCATGAAAATGATTGGATGAATTTTAATTTTGTCTTCCTCCCAAAAGGTATCTTGTACATCGGTGCTGGATTCAAATGTCTCAAGAAACAGGGTGCATTGAAAGTAAAATTACTTGAATCCCTTAAAGATCACGCAACATGCATGAGGTTGGCTGAAATCATACATAATGGAATCTTATGTGGGAAAATTTCACAAATCTTTTCACTTGTTGCCAACGATCTAGCTTCAGCATACCATTATGATAGCAGTTGCACACTATTAGGATCTGACCTTTTCAAAAACAAGAGTAATCATATTCATGACCCGGATTACAAAATGGGAACCATCATACCACATGACTCTGGGTGGTCATTTTGTGGAAACTATACCAACAAAACGTAAGTATTACCATTGACTTTGTATATTGGCACTAGCCTTATTTGATAGAGATTTCTTATTGAGAAGCTAAATAAAGGAATGAAATATATTATTGAGTAAACCCGCCAAACCCAAACTGTGGAATTAATATAAATTTAAGTGACAAAAAAAGTTTTAAGATTTAATTTACATCTCGCTTAAACTTTACTCTAACAACTTTGGAAGCTGTATAGACTAAAGCAACCAGTTCTTATACTCAAGTTCTTTTAAGTTATCTTTTAATACAAAAGTGTGATTTGAACTTTTTTAAAGTTCAGCAAATTGAGTGAAAATACTAATTTTTTCATCACTAAGGCGTAAAGTGACTCTTTTCCACCTGAACTCCGCTAGTTTTACGTGCTAAAATAATACCGGGGTGTAAAAATACTCATGTGACATTAAAGCTAAGACAGTGACGTCTTCCGAAGACGTAGTAAGACCTCTACCGACGCCGGTGTGAACAGTCCTATGTATTCACCTAAGACATTTTATAGGAAACATGTTTGGTATGTCGAGTGCTTTTTGATGTTCACTACATTTAAACAACTTTTAATTTTCCTACAACTTAAAAAACCATTTCAACGTAAGCGTTCTATTAATCATTGCCTTTCCTACTGCACTTTAACAAAAATGAGCGAGGGTTGAAGACACTTTCTGCCCATGTGATGAACTATATTTTCTGTCACGTTGCAAAATTTGTTGGCAAAACTTAAGTTAGAAAACAAAAATTCTTTTCATAAAAGGGTAACCTCTCAAAACCACTTCAAACTTGCTTACAATAATTATGCTTATGCCAACAAACAGCTGTTTGATAAGTGATTCAATCTTTTGTCAATAGCGATTGTTTTGGTGTACATTATATACTATTAATATGTAACTATTGATAAGAATACTAAAATAGGCTACATACAACTAATTAAATCAATCAATAAATCATTTCAATTTTCAATACATGATTTTGCTCACAATCAAAGTCTACAACAGTTTTTCTATAGGTTTACCCCCTAGGGACTAAACAATTTTGTACTCTTTAGGGAGTTAAAGAGTTAAGAGTTAGACCCGCAACGTATTAAAAACTGCTGTTTTAGCTGCAGTTTGAAGAAAAACTATTTTTAACGCACACTTGTTGTATTTTTTCAGGACCGAGGAAAGTGAAAAAACACCAACAAATAGCTTACCAGAATCTTGCACACGCTTGGAGGCAGTTAATGAAATAATTGTGGACATTGAAGTGGAGGAGCCACAATTCAAATCCAATTGTGAAGACTACTGGTACTCGACATGCTTAAAAACCTTTGAAGAACAATATGATGGCTTGAAATACAACTTTGTCGTCAATTCCAACGAGGATGTGTACGTAGGGGCAGGTTACAGATGTGCGGCTGAGGAAGGCTTGATTCATACAATCAAAATAAAAGTGTTGATGAGTATGAATGTTCATTTTGTTTCTCAGAAATATAGATTAAAAAAGATTATTATTGAGGGCTCTTCTTGTGGAATATTATCAAATAATTACCATGTAAAAGTAAATTGTTTAGGTGCACTTGAAAGACTACAAACCGCTTGTGAACACGATTATTTGCAATCCTCTCCTGATATTAGGGGTAATGTAGTTCCAACATATCTAGAAAATCGAGATAAAACAATAGTAGAGCTTGGCAGGGTGGTTATCCCAAATTATTTTGATTACCTATTTTGCAGAGTGAAAGAAGATGATAAAATTTTTTGGGAAGACGATTATGTTGATTATGCGTACTCAGAATAAGATAGGACAGTAGTTTGTTTTGTTTTCACAGATTTGGGTCACAATTGATCAGGAAAAGTTTCAATGTTACTGTTTTGAGAACAGTTTATTTCATAACACCTGTTAATTTCTATTAATTATTATCATATGTTTATTTGTTATTCTATGTTTGTAAAAAAAGGTAAATAAAGTGAGTTGAGTTTGAGTTATGACATAAAACAGTGCATTCACTTAATTCTTAGTAAAATAGTACATGGTGGCAGCGGTTTAGAGCTATGCCTCAGAAGAGAAATCCAAGAAGGAAACAATCTGACTATGAAGATAATGAAAATGAAAGAAGCAGAGAAAATGAATACAACAATTCAACTAAGAAGTCAATAATTGTATCAAACACTCATTCAGTTATTCAACCTCCAGCTAGTTTCTCCTTTGTACCAGCAGATTGGCCAAGATGGAAAACACGATTTCAAAGATATCGGTCAGCATCTGGGCTATCTGAAGAGTCTGAGAACAAACAAATCAACACTCTTATATACACATTAGGAGAGAAAGCTGATTAGATTTTTGCATCTTTTAATTTAGCAACCGAATCAACGCTAACATTTGAAGAAGTCTTAGATTTATTTGACAAACATTTTATTCCACGGAGGAACTTAATTTTTGAAAGAGCAAAGTTTTTGAAGAGAAAACAAAAAATTAATGAAACAGTTGAAGAGTTTATAGTTAGTCTCCATTCCTTGGCTAGAACCTGTGACTGGGGTTCACTTAATGATGAAATGGTGTTGATGGTACTAATACTGGGTTTAATTTAAATGATGAGGAACTTAGTGATCGCTTGTTGCTAGATCCCGAGATGAATTTAGACAAGGCCATTACAGTAATAAGACATGCAGATAACGTAAAGAAAGAGATGGCAGATTTATGTGATGAGAAAATAGTTCAAATTGAAGCAACTACGTCATCGAGTTCAAACCAAAATCAAGGATATAGGTCCAGCAAAAAGCGCAACATGTAACTTATGCAAAAAGATTGGTCACTTTTCGAAGGTCTGCAGATCTAAAGAAGCACAGGAAGTAACTGACAAAAATGAAGTAAGTGAACTTGGACCTTCAAATAATAAAGTATTCATAGGTACACTTGGGGATGTGTCGAAATGTAAGCCCTGGAAACTAGAATTAGTATTTGAGGGAAAACCACAAACATTTAAAATTGATTCAGGGGCAGATGTAACAGTAATTCCCCCTGGCATAGTTGATCCAAGTAGGATCCAGCCGACTCTAGTTGAGTTGTTTGGGGCTGGTAGAACAAAATTAGAAACTGTAGGTTGTGTTAGAGCTAATATCCAATACAGAGATGTTAAAATAAATCACATGGTATACGTAGTGAAGGGACTCATAACACCCTTGCTTGGTTGTCCAGCAATACAGGACTTGAAAATTTTAACTTTTGTTAATTCAGTTGCAGAGGTAGACAGTGACTTTTTTACCGAATACCATGAAATGTTTAGTGGTCTGGGCGTCATTCCTGATCCCTACACAATAGCACTTAAGGATGGTGCAAAGCCATACGCAATAACCACTCCTAGGACAGTACCTTTACCCCTAATGTGTCAAGTGAAACAAGAACTAGAAAGTATGGTACAAAATAATGTAATCACATCATTTGAGCATGCTACTGAATGGTGCTCAGCAATGGTAGTAGTGCCTAAATCTAATGGAGATGTCCGCATATGTGTTGACTTAACAAAGTTGAATGAATCCATCCAGCGGTCTTATCATCCGATTCCCAAAATTGAAACATCTCTCAGCTCAATCTCAGGAGCAAAATGGTTTTCAAAACTTGATGCAAACAGTGGTTTTTGGCAAGTCCCCTTAAATGTAAATTCCCAGGATCTAACTACTTTCGTTACCCCTTTTGGACGTTTTAAATTTCTCAAACTTCCATTTGGAATCACATCAGCACCTGAACATTTTCAGAAATGCATGAACAAAATCTTAGACAACCAGTCAAATGTCGCAGTCCATATGGACGATACTCTGATTTGGGGAAAAACGAAAGAAGAACATGATACAGTTGTTCGGCAAGTACTTGAAAAGCTTAAAAATGTAGGAATGACACTTAACAAAGACAAAACTGAGTTTGGGAAGTCAAGTATTAAATTCCTCGGGCATTTCCTCTCATCCGATGGAATTTCTGTTGATAAGGAAAAGGTTTCCGCCATTCTCAAAATGGACTGCCCAAAAAACGTAAAAGAACTTCAAAGGTTCAATGGGATGGTAAACTTTCTTGGTAAGTTTATTCCTGACAAAGCTAAGATTTTGGCCCCAATGAATTCACTACTTCAAGCTAACGTTCCATGGATATGGGGTCCAGAGCAGGCGAAGGCATTTGATGAAATAAAACTCATTTTGACTAACTCTCCTTGCCTAGCCATTTACGATGTAAATCGGGAAACAATTATCTCCTGTGATGCCTCGCTTCAAGGACTAGGATCAACTCTTTCTCAAGTTCAAGATGATGGTTCTATACGACCAGTATCATTTGCATCCCAAAGCCTTCTTCCTTCTGAAAAAAACTATGCAAACATCGAAAGGGAGGCTACAGCTGTTGCTTGGGCATGTGAAAAGTTTCAAGAATTTATTATTGGCAAGGGAATAACAATACAAACAGATCACAAACCACTACTTCAAATTTTGAAATCCAAACATCTTGATGAATTGTCTCCAAGAATTCAAAGAATTCGATTGCGTCTCATGAGATATGATTTTTCAATTACTTATATTCCTGGAAAGCAGCTTCTAGTTCCTGATGCTCTTTCAAGAGCACCTCTCCCATTTTCAGGTACTGATGACCGTGAGTTAGAAGAAGAAACTCAAGCGTTTGTTCAAATGGTTTTGTCGTCCATCGATATAAACGACTGCATAGTTGCTAAAGTATTGGAGGAACAAAATAAAGATCCGACTTTACGTGAACTGAAAAAAATAATCATCCAAAGTTGGCCTTCTAAGACATCATTACGAGATGACCTAAAACCGTATAATTCAGTTAAGGATGAGCTAAGTATTGATAATGAGATGATACTACGAGGTTCAAGACTTGTAATTCCGCCAGCTCTGCAGTCTTGGGCACTTCAAAGAGTACATGAAGGTCATTTTGGAATCACCAAGTGTCGTTTATGTGCAAAAGAGTCAGTCTGGTGGCCAGGAATTTCTTCAGCCATTGAAAGTATGGTGAAATCATGCCCTACTTGTATTAAACATTCAAGGAACAGTCATGAACCATTGCTTCCCACACAATTCCCTGACAGGCCATGGAAAACACTTGCGATGGATTTGTTCAAACTTGAAGGTGTTTGGTTCTTGACTGTGACAGATTATTACTCCAGATATTTTGAGATAGCTGAATTAGAGTCATTAACATCCTGAGAAGTATTAATGAGATGCAAAGCCTTTTTCTGTCGACACGGCATTCCAGAAGAAATTAGGTCTGACTGTGGGTCTCAATTTCAAGTCCTTGAACATTCAGATTTCAAGACATTTTCCAAAGTTTATGGCTTCAAGCATATAACAAGTAGCCCAAAATTTTCCCAAAGCAATGGAGAGGCTGAAGCGGCAGTGAAAATCGCCAAAATGATTCTAAAGAAAAATGTGGAAAACCCTTATTTAGCGCTTCTAGCCTATCGAACGACACCCCTCTGGAATGGGTTCAGTCCCTCTCAGCTTCTTATGAACAGGCGATTACGGAGCACATTGCCTCAGACAGGACATTTGCTTTGTGGAAAACCAGATCTAAAGGATCTTAAAGGGAGAGAAGAAACATATCGTGAGAAGTACAAACACAACTATGATAGAAGGCACAAAGTGCAAACTCTCAATCCTCTTCATATAGGAGACCCAGTTTGGATTGTGGACCTTAGAAGACATGGCAAAATTGTGAAAATCCTGGACAGCCCTCGTTCATATATTGTTGAAACTGATAAGAGGAATGTGAGAAGAAATCGATTCCACCTCAAACTTGCCCCTTATTTAAGAGAGGAAAACAGTGAACAAAATTTGTCAGAATACACATCAAACAGAACCATACAACCGTCCAAAGAGAAATATACACAAACCAAGCTGGTTGAAGAACTTTCAAACTTAAAAGGGAGGATGTTGTGAGAACAGTTTATTTCATAACACCTGTTAATTTCTATTAATTATTATCATATGTTTATTTGTTATTCTATGTTTGCAAAAAAAAGGTAAATAAAGTGAGTTGAGTTTGAGTTATGACATAAAACAGTGCATTCGCTTAATTCTTAGTAAAATAGTACAGTTACAATTAACCAACCCTTAAGCACAATAAAACAAATGTGGGATCAGGGGTTTTTAAAGAGGGTTTTTAAAGGTGTTTTTTAATGCAGCTCCTTGAGATAACCGGAATCCAGGGTTTATGAAAGCACAAAGATAATAACAAAACACTATTATTCAGGCTTGTAAATTTATCTTACTTATATAAATACTAGACATACTGAACTCAATTTCTCTATAAGAAACTATTTCTTGATCAGCCACATGGCTTGGTATTTTATTTTAAAGTTGGTTGTGTAATACTGCTGTACGTGTAATGTTTTTGTAGTATTTCAAATTAATTTATTTTTATTAATAAAATGTTGTATATTTAAATTTGTTGAGTCTGAATTGATGCAGCAATTTCAGTTAGTGCGCTGAAGGTACACACAAGAATACTAAAATTCTAGTCTGATGCATCAAATCTACAGGGTGATTACTGGGAAACGCATGTTTTTGACATTCGTAGTACATAAGAAATATCGTTCGGCGACGGCCAGAAGTTGTTGCGCTGTGTAGGGGGAAGTGTGCAGTTTCAATTTTTGCCAAGATGTGGGACCTTGAGCATCGTATGTTTGTCATGCGACGATGTAACGCAAATGGTGAATCAGTCACTCAGACTCAGCGAGACTTTCATACACATTTTAACATTGCACGGCATGGTGCTACCCCTGATCGTAACACGATTTTGCGTTGGATACATAACTTAAAACTCAATTAGATCTCTGCTTAAGAGAAAACCTCCTGGACTGGCAAGGACAGTTAGTACCCCTGAGACAGTTGAAAGAGTGCGCCTTGCAACAGCTGAGTCCTAGCCGCGACGGCAGAGCAGTGACAGTGAATCCACAACGGTACCTAGACATGTTGGAAGAACATTTCTTGCCGGAACTGCGCCATCAACGTGTCGAGATACGTAATGACGTATGGTTCCAACAAGATGGGGCAACAGTCCATACAGTTCGCATTAGAATGGAATTCCTTCGGCGAACATTACCTAAAAAAGTTATCCCACGTTTTGGGGGTGTCACTTGGCCGAGCGCTCACCAGGTCTTAAAATTCCAGATTTCTTTCTATGGGGATTTTTAAAATCTAGAGTTTACATAAACAAACCAAAAACAATACAGGAACTTAAAGAAGCTATTCGCCAGGAAATCAACGCCATTCCTAGAGATATGTTAGCAAATTCCGTAGAAAGTTTTAAGGAACGCCTTCAACGCTGTATCAAAGCAGAAGGCGACCCGTAAAATTATCAATGTTCTCTAACCACCACGTTAGAAATATTGCAAGTAGTTTTATTCTGAAATTGCATATTGTGTGCACTGTTTTTCCACTCATAAATGCATTTTTTGCTATGAATTACCTGAGTACTCGTTATTTGAAAAACATGCGTTTCTCGGTAATCACCCTGTATATCTATAAAAGAGGAACTACGTATGTATGTATGTATGTGTGTATATATGTATATACGTTATGGACTCCAAAACCGCTCGACAGATTATAATGAAACTTTCAGGCATTATTACGCATCTTTCAAGGATGGTTTGTGTGAAGTTTGGTGCAGATCCATCAAAAGGGCTCCGCCC